ATTCCGTTAATATCCTTGAAGCAGGTTCATCCTTCAATCATCCATTCTAAAAGTAATCATACACACCTTAGAGCAGAAACCAAAATGGAAAAACACACCAACAAAACTTGACAGTACAAACCTTGGGAAAAGCCACCAAGTGAACAGCATTATTGTTATACCCAAAAAGCAAAAAAACTATGGCCCAACGTATCCATCAGGAGGACACAACTTAAGACACAGCAACATCAATATACAGGAGGACAAGCACTGCTAGCATATCGACATGAACTGCACATCATGAAAACCAACAAACTAAACCTTGACAGTACAACATTTTATATAATAAAACAAAGAATAAAACCCAAAGGGCAGCCATAAACCCCAAAATGTAGGAAAACACAAAATTAATTTGCCTGGAAGTATAAATCAATTGCTTGAAACACAAGGCCCTTACCATCCCAAAACAGCCGGTATGATTCCACACAGAAAGCAAAACACAATACAGAGTGACATAACACACAGTACCAGCGAAATACAGGTACATGAGGGCTAGGACTCTCCAAGAGACATGAAGTGCAGATCATGACAAAAAACTGCACCCAACATCCACCTAAAATACACCCTCTGGCAGAGCAAAATACAAAAATTGGCCCACTCAACGGTTAACAAAACTTATGCCAACACAATCAATTCATCTTCTTCCCGCATGTAATTACTGTTATCTTCATTTATTGCGTGGTTGGGTGGTAACAATCTCACATCCAACTCCTCCTCGAGTTGTAATTCAACAGACCCCTCACTATCTTCATCAATGTCCATATAGTTTTTCTCAGGTAATCTTAGGACAACTGACCATAGTTTCTCAAAAGGATCATCAATGTAACATTCTTGCATGATGTGTTTCCCCAACACAAATGGGTCATTCTGAAAACCTAATTTGTTCAAATTAACCACAGTGTATCCCAAATCATCTACCTTAACCCCTCTATTCATATCTACCCATTTACAACGAAAGATGGGAACCCTAGAATGGTTGTAGTCTAACTCCCAAATTTCTACGATAACACCGTAAAATGTGTGTGTACCATGCTGGATGTTTTCTTCCTTACCAACTACGAGCATTGTTTGAGCTTCTACACAAACACCACTAAACTGAACTTGACGCATATCATCACGTTCTTTGGTTCTGTAGGTCACACCATTGATTTTATACCCACTGAAAGTGGGTACATCCTTGTTAGGCCCTTCTGCAATCCACATTAGTTCCGTTGATACTGTATTATTCTCCACAAGCAAGTCTGTTGAAATCTGTCTAAACGAAGTACCACAAGTACAATAACTTCAAATTTTGCTATTTTATTCAAGAATCTGTATAAATACTATATGATGACAGATTGTACTTACTTTTCTACGAAACCAGCCCGGGAAAGTTTCGTTTTGCTTGTTCTTGAGCCACTCCTCATCATTAGAACGTTGTGGATACATTTTCACCAAAGCACCCATATGTTCACTGAAACAATTTTATTCTTTAATAATATTATAAAGAAGAATGCAAGCGAAGTAACTGTCAAAAATTAAAAAAAATTACTTACATAAAGTATGGTTGGACATCATCACAGTTTTCGAGGAAACACAAATGTGCTAGGTGCAAGTCATTATTGGTCGGTGTGATCATCGTCGCACCAGATAGGGGTCTAGATTGTGCACCCTGGAAACGTTTTGGCAATCCTACTGTACAATCTTCAGAACTCACTAAACACTCAATTGCCTCCTCTGCAATATACGCTTCGGCAATTGAACCTTCAGGATAAGCACGATTGCGTACATATCCCTTGAATATCTTCATTTCTCTTTCGAAAGGATACATCCAACGTAGCCAAACTGGCCCACAAAGCT